TAATCGCTATCGTCGTATTAGAAGTAAGATATTAAATATTAGATTTAAAAGTAATATAGAAGAAGATATTAATATTATTAATAGTATATAAGATACTATTAGAATTACGATAAATACTTTACTTTTTTATACTTTCGCGATATCTAGAATTTTACTCTAATAAGAGCGAGGAAGAGTTTAACCCGCTACTCGTTTTTTAAAATTTTATTAAATCGCTAAAGTAATATTCGCTCTACTTTTATACGCGAGAAACTAAATATATAAATTTTTAAATTTCTTTTAATCTAAATTATTAAAAGTTTTTAGACTTTATTATTATATAGAGAAAGAATATTATTATAAGATATAGAGAGATTAATATCTAAAGTTCGAAGATATCTTATTATTATCGTTATAAAGAAAGTTAAATATTTAAATATTCTTAATATATTTTATATTTATATAAACTTATCTTAAGCGTATTAATCGCGTTAATATTATTTAAAATATATATATTATAATCTCTTTAACTTCTAAGCGAAGCGTATTTAAGTTAATATATATTTCTATAGAAAGCGTATTTCGAGTATTCGACTTTCTAATTAAGGGTAATATAATAAATCTACTTAAATAATTCCTTAACTCGATTTATTATATAATCTTTTAATAATGCTAAAGACGATATATTATTATCTAGAATTTTTCTAATAAAGGTTAATTAGCTAGAGATAAGTGCTATAAATATCGATAAAGATTATAATCTCGAATTAGCTTATACGATAATAATAAGATATTTAATTTTAATAAAAGACTTAAATATTTAATTAATAACCTCGATAGATTTATTTATCTCGCGATTAACTTTAAAGAATTATATAATAGTTATAAAAAAATTATTGAAAGTCGCGAATTTCGCATTTCGATTAATTATTGCGAATATCTTATATAAAATAACGATTAATATAGCGATTTTATGATTTTCTACTTAGACTCTAGAGGGGGGATATACTATAATAAGCTTACGATATAATTAGTCCCCGAAGCGAGGAATGAGTGTAGGGCTGGCCATAGGGTACCCCGCTAAGCGAGTCTGAATTACTGAGACTACGTATTTGCCATGCGGCTCAGGTGATCAATCCTGAATCCTGGGGGGGATCCAATTCCCCAATGCCCATGCCGCTACAGGTCACTTCTCCGCATCTACTTTGTACATCGTATTACCCATGTCGAGGGCAGCTCTCTGTGACAGCAAGTGGCAATTTTTGACGTCGAGTAATAATAAGCTCACCCAGTCATCCTTTGCTGTGCGTCATAGCTGACCAAACACGTCTCACTGCACTTGATAACAATACGAGCCATGCTCTGGTTCTGTCATAGTAACAGACCCTGAAATCGCTGAGCCCGTTGTCCGATTGTTCGTGTCAGATTTTCAAAAGCCTCAAGCTACGAGGTCAGTCAGAGTAAACAGAAGCGGTCATCTATCCGGCTCATCGCGCAATTGTATCCCATGTGCGGTTCTGACAGTCAGCCAATCAGATGCATAACCGTTGCCCTAAAGCGAGCAATCTGCTCTGGCGACCAAAGTCTATCTTGCAGATCTGATGTTTCTCTCTGTGGCGTTGGACAGTAGCGTTCGATCAAGCATCAGATCCCTTTTTCTCTTCTGTCCAAGCTTGACGGCCCTGAGGCAGACTGTGTCTCTCGAAACGGCGAAACAATTGTGGGAGATTTGATAGTCACAGCTATGTTTCCCGCCCAGTAATTCTGTAGTTCGTTACTAGAGCAGCTTCATCGTAGATTCAATCAATTGTCTTTTTACACGCTCGAGAAGACGATCTAGTCGATGAAATGGTCTTTGGCACCGGGCGTTATGGAACTGATGCACGAGTCAGTCATTGGTCAATGTTCTCTTCCTTCGACCTGCTATATGACGCAAGGTGATTGATCTAGGAGAATCCATACGTGCGCAACCAAAACTTCTCATACGACCAGGTAAAAACAACCTCTTGCTAGCTGAAGTGGCCCCTGCGCTGCGGCGAAAAGGTATTTCGATATCGCAAGCAACGATAGAGCAGCTAGAAATTACAATCACGAGGCACAGTGATGGATGAAAGCACGGCATCCCAGATCCAGCTGGAGGGCAATTCATTCTTTCGCATCAGATCATCTGATCAAAGAGGCAGTACCTATTCCCGGGTCTCGTAGACCAGCACTACGTTTCCCAGCCAGACCCACGTGGCTCGACCTCTGAGAGGCTCCTTTGTCTGCGTTTGGACGCGTGTACGACGGGTTATTATAAACATAGACCCAGGAGCCTTCAGGAGGTGAGACTTCGAGACGAAGCTTTTCGGATAAGAGGACCGAGCGTGGGATTCTGATACCAAGTCCACTCACTCCTTCAGCAATTAGGGTGAATCGGATGCGAGGCTAGGATTGGCGCCCGCATACCGCACCTTCTGTTGTATCTCTAAGCATCGATTCGATTTGCGGGACCCCTTACAGAGGCCTTGGGGTTCTAAATGTGAATCCAAAATCCCCAGGTATACTAGCAGGCTCCATTTTGAGGGGTGCTCTGCTCCATGCTACCGGCGCGAGCACTGTATAGAAGTGTTGCAAGAGCAATGGGATCTGCTAGGCCTGACGAGAAACTTCACTGTGGTGAAATGCGAGATAGACATAACTGTCAAAAGAGATTCATGCTGGGAAATGGCCAAGATGACCCTACTTGGGCGCTGGTATTCCGGCCGAATAGTAACTTAGATATATGCATCATGGCCGATCTGCATCGACAGCGGGGTGGCGGTAGCTGTAGCAGACCGCTTTGCTCTTCAATTTTTCGAACCGGAACTTCTAATTTCAACGGACATCAATACGCTGTACCGATTTGCTAATAGCAGGCATACCGTTTCCGAAGCCAGAAGGCGATGCTTTCTCAAAACCTCTGAGCAGCTTCTGTCTGCGCATCATTTTCTTTGACACAATCAACTACTTGTATTGGAATAACGTCAACAAAGTCCTCATTCTCATCTCCGTGGGATGCAGCTTACATGATGATTCCATTGAAAGGGTGAACAATATTAGAAAAATCCTGTTCGACTGATCAGGGACTAGATTCTCATGACTTCTAAACGTGTTGCTGTTTCCCGTACTCAGTGTAATCTGTGAGTTCTGTCCAAAGAGACAAGGGCACACATGGCCAGCTTTTCAAGACTCTACGGCATCAATTATCATAACGAGCCGTGGTCTGCAGTATTCGCATAGGGACAAGTAGCAATCTTCATTCTTTCTTGGGTGAGTAGTTGTACAATTGCTCCCATTAGGCTTAGCGCGTGGATCTTGATTGTTGAGCCTGAGTACAGCTATTGCCTTTTGCCTTTCAGGCAACCAAAGCACAAAAATCCATTCACAACAATTTGACACTCCACTCTCTCTTCCAATATCTTTACTCCCTGTCTACTCCTGATCTCTCCCATCCTCCGCTGATCGAAGCTGTCTGATACCGCGTAACGGCCAACGAGAGCGGCATCCTTTTCTTTGTCTCCTTGCAGCAAAGACACACCCAACATGGCAAACGACGAGTATGATGTATGTCCACGTTCTCTGCCTGCTCCTTTAGCTGTGCTAACGGATCTTCGTGAAGTTTCTGTTCAAAGGTACCCCCCCTTGGGCTTACGGCCATTAAAGACAACCTCGCCCATGCTACATGCTACCCACCCCCTTCTGCCTAATGGCTCTTACTGATCCTTCAATCAGTGGTCCTCATCGGAGACTCTGGCGTCGGAAAATCGAACCTTCTCTCCCGATTCACCCGCAACGAGTTCAACCTCGACAGTAAATCCACCATCGGTGTGGAATTCGCAACCCGATCCATCCAAGTCGACGCCAAGACCATCAAGGCTCAGATTTGGGACACAGCTGGACAGGAACGCTACCGCGCCATCACATCAGCATACTACCGAGGAGCTGTTGGAGCACTGCTCGTGTACGATATCAGCAAGCATCAGACCTATGAAAACGTGCAGCGGTGGTTGAAAGAGCTAAGGGATCATGCGGATGCGAATATCGTCATAATGTTGGTCGGGAATAAGAGCGATTTGAGGCACTTGAGGGCGGTCCCTACGGAGGAGGCGAAACAGTTTGCCAGTGAGTGGGTATATTCCTGTTTGGGAGACATGGGCTAACGGTCAAAGGCGACAACAACCTATCATTCATTGAGACTTCGGCGCTAGACGCAAGTAACGTCGAGCTTGCCTTCCAAAACATCCTCACAGGTATTCTTGGATGCCCCATCGACTTGATGGCAGCTTGCTGAAGGTCTACAGAAATATACCGTATTGTCTCGAGCAAAGCCCTTGATAATGGCGACTCAGCCCAGAACCCAATAGGCGAGCGTAAAGTCCTTGAGATCAGCAAGTCATCGGATCCAGAGACGAAGTCGGGAAAGTGTTGTTAGGGTACTAATATGTTCGAAGCCTGAAGCCGTTCGGTGTACCAAGGACTCGCTAGATATGGATGCTTTAGTCGTTCTCGGGCTTTAGAGGTTCGGTTTTCTCTTCGAGCTCACGAAGGTGGCCTCAAAGATTTGATCCGTAGTATTACTGATGCGTGAGCAATGCCTCGGATTATTGAGATTAAATTGGCGTCCATTTGGGTGGTGTTATCTGTGAAGCTCTACTACCGAGTCTGCTTCAACGTGCCCCTTTCAGTGACATCTTGACTGTTAGTGTGCTTCGATACCACTGGCACCAGCATGGAAGCACGGAGCCAGCCTGAGCTCATCCTTGCCTTGTCAACGACGTTACAATGAGATGAAGGTATGAGGAGTGATCTACTGTGTGCAGGAATGACCGTTCTTGTACCGCAAAAGGTTCTCTTGTCTTTTGTCTCTAAGAAGATCCAATCTCAACATGCACACATCCACAGTCTTGCTCTCCTTTTGCATAAACCATGGCCGAGTTCTAATCCTCAACTCCACCGGCGCCTCCTTCTCTCGAAACGCCGAAGCCCTTGATCTCAGCCGTTCAACTTCCCCTCCCCTCGAACTCCCTCATCCTCCCAGTGCCATCTTCATCTGCAACACAACTCCATGCTAGCTCCGGCGTTTTTTTCTTCCACGGCCTTCCCAATAACCAATCGGTCACACTAACCACCCTACTTGTCTTCTCTAGATCCCCGTTTTCTTCTGCGTGCTCAATGGTGTGTGTAAGAATCCTTCCCTCCTCGTCAAATTCGAATATGAATTTCCCACAAAATTCCTCATCATCCCTCGCGTCGCCACCCAACCATTCGGTAATCTTGTCCACCTGTTCACTAGCCCCAATCCCACGATACAGCGCACCCATGCCTTTGCCTTGTGTCTTGCCACACGTTTTCCAGCGCACAACAAGGCGCTCGTTGTTGATGTGGGAGTGAGCGATGTGGGAGTAGGTAGGTCCGTTTTTCGCTACACGCTCACTGAGAATTATAAGCTTGACATTGCCGACAATTGGGACGCGGCCCCAAGCCATAGGGGCGGTCCAAAGGGCTGCATGGTAGGCGACGCGGCCGGAGACTGTGGGAAGGTGGGGGTGGGTTGAGGGGAAGAGGTGGAGGGTAATGTGGGGTGAGAGTATATCGGGTGGAAGGGGGGAGGCAAGGAGTGTAGGGAGGCGGGATTGTAGGATGCGGAGGGCTGTTGCGAGGAGGAAATGGGTCAGTACTTTAAGTCCTTCGAAAGCGGTGCCGAGTGAGACGTACTCTTGCCCAGCTTCAAGGTCCGCTCGTCTGGGGGTGCATCTTCAGATTTGGCCCCAGGTTGTTCGGGCGCACGACGGCGCGGACTTGAGCTCGTGAACCAGATTTCAGGAAAGATTTCGCGGTTCGACTGGACTTGTGCGAGCGAACGGCATGGTGAGCAGAACGTGGTACGGAGCCCAAAGCCTGTAGGACGATGCCCCGGCTTCAAGGCATATTTGTCGGCGCGGACAAATTTGGGGAAAGCTCTCCTCATCAGGGTAATAGTCAAGGTAGCTCGGGATGAGACATATGGATTGTTAGGAGAGGGTGACTATCATCGTAAAGTACGCAGCGAATTCCACACTAAACTACTCTATGGGTGATGAATACTCCAGCCGTGTTGAAAAGCTGCTCGCACGTGACCTTCAAATGACGTACTCTGCGCTCACTCACGTCGGCTGTCCTAAGTATAGATGATCGATTCCCCATTATCGAATCAATGTCTGCATCCCATAGACATTACCGCAGGAAATCTTGATGGGCTCTGGCTTTAGTGCAAATGACTTCGTCCATCTGTATTCAATTAGCACACAAAGTCTGGCGAGAATCCCGCGATGCCCCAGAGACTTCCGGACTGTCTTCGCAGAATCTGCCAGCCTCCAACTCGTGCTCAAGGAGGTGCAGGAGGCTGTAAACGACAATGAGCCGAATCGAAGCAAGAAATCCGATCTATCGAAAATGATAGACGGGTACAACGCCGTTTTACAAGAGCTACATGGTTTGCTGAATAATAAGTACAATAGTCCTGGGACGCAAAGCAGGAGAACTGGTGACAGAATGCGATAGAGTCAGGACCAAATCGAGGAATAGGCAGCGTGCCATATCAAATACTGGTCTGCTGACTTCATTCCACGTTGGGCTAATTGGGTATATTCCTAAGATCAGGTTATGAGATTGTGTCTGCTACTCACTCTCTTGCGCACAGCGCTGGCCAAGCTCGAATTGGGTAGCTTCTAACGCCGCTGGTATGGGAGCATCAGTCTGGACTGCGCGAGTGCTCAGTCAGATCTGTGGATAATTTAGAATCAGCCGAAGAAGGCGACGAAGATGTGTGGTTTCAGATGGCTCGAAAGCTAGAAAACGTTGGCATCACTTCGACTATGGTCAATGAAAATTGTTCGTACATCACCGCTTGGATCAAAGATGCCTTGAGAAGTGGCTCTCTGGGCGAGTGTGTTCGTTCGCCAAGCTCAGACTCTCGAGCGTATCTGGCGATGAATGGTGCGCTTCGTTCCAAAGCGTCCTCAATGAGTACCACGAAATACAACATGAGATCACAAACTCAAGTGGTTTACAGGAGAATATCCGACCGGAACCTAGCCTCTAGACGAGATACCGGTGCGTCTGTACTTATCCAAATTGTTATTGACAATCCTCGCACACGGGAGCCTTGTTCGGGGCCGACATTTTTTGACTTGCTGCCACACCTGCGAGACGTACACAGCGTGGAAGATCACTCAATTAGCGAAATTCTTTCAGGTGTAGATTTTCTTCACTGCCACCAACATATGACCATCCACCCACCCACTTGAAGAATACTGTCCTTGTGCCTGAGGGAGTAGGCTAGATTTTCTGGCATCTGGCCGGAGCATTTGTCTGATGCTAGGCACACGGCGCCCACAGGCGACATCTAGAATGCTCCCTTTTGGAACATCATATCAGAGGGTAGCAGCCACAAAATGGGCAGAAGTGTGATCGCTTCGAGTAGACGGCCATACACAACGAAAAGTATCAACAGTTATGCATGGGTCCAATGGACGCATCGTGGGTGTACAAGATCTATGGTCTTACATAGAATAGCATGTTTGAATGCAGTCAACCATGTGGCGAGAGCGGACTATGTTCGACTCTTCGCTAACATGCATGATGCTGCTAAATGCCATTCAAACAACCCCGGAATAAGCCGATAGTAGAATACAAGAGCCAAGCGCTTTCAGCCACATCGATCGTACACATCACGGAGCCTCTTCCTTGTGCATTTTTCTCTTCGCTCAATCGTCGCCAGGCTTGCCACCCATCCGCACCCTTTTAGTCGGTGATCCTCCATTTCTCAAACCATTTGAGATGCCTCCACTGCTTATTGTCACCCTCCATACCGAATACAATCGCCCTAAACAAGACGAACAGCCCTATGACCAGCACGTAAAGCGACCCATAAATTGCCCACTCAATTCTCTTGTCCTTTCGCGCCAACGGCTTGGTCATCCAATCCGTAACGAATCCCATGGTCAGGATGGCAAAGTACAGTGCCGGGTAATAATGGTGAACATAAGTAACACGCGCCATAGCCACAAACGGTAGATAGTGGAGAAACCAGCCTACAACGGGATAAAGTCCGGCGTAATGAATTTGGTCAATCTCCGAAGGTTTGAGCTCGTCATATCCGCGTTGCCAGCGGACGAGATACCATGCCATCATTGCGCCAAAGACACCAAGCGAGAGGGTGCTGCCCCAATAGACAACGGGGTTGCCAAGGAGGAAGTACTTGACGATGTGATTGTCCCAGCCGCACATACGAAGGCCGACGTTCAGGATAGGCCACTGCCAGAATTGAGAAGCGAGGTCATCTTGTTTGTCGGGATCAGGCACCAAGGCGTTGTTGGACGTCATCATTGCTACGTTAAGGTGCATGAAGTCGCGTAAGAATGGGGACTTGTAAGATCCAGGGTCACCGGCCCGTACTGTGCGAATTCATCAGTATATCATTGTGAATAAAACACAGCAAAAACTCACGTCTTTCGTTCCAATGAGACTCGACGTTCCAATGGGTGTATACATCTCGAGGCTTGTTCTCTTTCGCACAAGTGACTTCAATCTGCTTGAAACCCCACTGCGGAAGATTGACGTTCCCAGCGCGCAGATAGCAGCCCAGAGATGTGTGCCTCAGCCTAAAGGATGTCGTCAACGTCCTAATTTTGGACCAGTCTCTCGAAGCTGCATCATCTACGACCTCAACAGTCCAATGATCTTTGTCGTCACCGATCGTAGTATTGCCATATGACGAGACCTCGTTGTCACTTTTGGTCACTGGAGCGGAAACCGCGTGCGAGTGCAGATTGCGACCTGTCTGAGAATGGATCATGCGGAGGACATGGCCGTCTCCAACGAAGCTAATAGGCTGCTCTGGGTCGTACAAAGGCATACTCCGATTTGGATAGAAGAACCAGTCGTTATTGGCATCCTTGTGATGGTAGCAAGTCACCTGCTGCTGTTGAGATCCCTCGGGGTATGTTTGAACGTGGGAATGCAGTAGACCGCCGCCATAGCCCATGTTTTTCAGTGTAGCTCTTGAACCATAAGCAACCTCCAGTGGGCTATCCTTTCCGACATCGGTGCCTTTCAGATTTGCCTGGAACAGCGAGCTCATCTGCGCATCTCCTGGGCCGCTGTTTTCCAAGATAAGGAAGTGGACCCAGAACGAAAACATGTATACAAGTAGAGGGAGGACGATAAGGCCAAAGGCCCTAGCCACGAGGTGCTGGCCTAGTTCAACCTATGATCCATTAGTCTTTTCACCATCATATTTCTTGGGCGCGCTTTTTTACCTTTGGCATTTTGACATCTCCGAACTTATTCCACAGGTCTTCAATTGTGTAAAATCCAACCAGGGCTGTGCCAAACATTCCCACCCACTTGACGCTGCACACACATCCAATGCTGATTCCACACAGAAACAGCCAGGTGAACCATTCAATAGAAAAGCTTTGATCCCTCAACCTATGGAATCTTGCCCAGCAAAGAACGGTGGTAAATGTAAAGCAGAGGAGCATCGAGTCCAACAGGATGAATCTCGAGATCGTTGCATAAGAGTTCTCGAAAAGCACGGCCATTGTCACCAACCAAACGGTCGATCGTCTGAAACTCATCTCCTTAGCCGTGAAGTATGCTAGGGGTACGCACACAGCACCAAATGCCGAGTTGAAGAGACGCATGAAAGTATAATTGAGCTCCTCTGGGTATTTCTCGCCGGATTTGAATTCGAACGAGCCGTTGTAGCCAGCCAACAGGCCGGAAAGGCCAACCAGCATTTTTCCCAGAGGAGGATGTACATCAAAATAGAACTCTCGTTTCAAGTAGTGGGAGCCGAACTTTCCAAAGCTGTACGAAGACGGGCCATTAGTATCGACCTTCGAATTTTCCCCAGTCCCCAACGTGGAGCCTAGACTTACTGAGCTTCATCCCAGGTCACGATATCTGACAGACCTATCTTGTACATCCTTGTGAAGAAAGCAAGTACTGTGAAGATCAAAGGTGCAATGATGAATTCATATTCGTCTAGCGTAGATAAAATTGAGAGAGACTGCGATTTGGGCTGAAGCAAAACTTGTTAACGCAACCACTTCGGTATAATACCAGCCATTCAACCGCACCTTCTGGGATTTCTTGTCGTCAACCTCCTCCTCAGAAGATGTGAGGGCGCTGTTTTGTCCACCAGGAACGTTTCTTCTCCTTAGATCTGCACCATCTTGTGCTGTCCCCGACGCATGAACGTCCTTGTTGCTCGTCATTGTGCGGTAAAAAGCCAGCAAGTGCTGTTGGCTTCCAATTCTGAGAAGACAATGTGGCGAATACGGCTTTGGTCTGGGTAGGAACGTCGAAGCAAGGGGGAAAGGGCAGCTGGAAAAGGAGCGTGAAGAAGCGTTTAACTATAAGGACTTTACGTTGTCATGGCGCTGGGGCACAGCAAGGTCTTGGATGTTGCAAGACACCTCTGTTTCCAGGCTTCTGTCGGAGAAGGATAGAATCGAGATTTTGAAACGTGTCGTTCCAGAATTCCCAATTACGAGGCTCATACGCCGTAAAGTGATAATTAAGGCTGACCCTACTTTTGTCCTGGGCGCTAGCACGATTGAGCAAAGCCGGAGAAAAGCTTGGCAAAAATCTGGCGAACGAGGCTGACTTTGGCGAGATATGAAGATAAAAAGATAAAAACCTTCCATATTTCCTTTACCACAAATTGGGCCTGCATCCACTTCTTTTGGCAGATCTAGCTGTGACCGGACCACTTCCCAGTCGACGAAACGTGCAAATCATCGCCCATCACGAAAATTGATAATGGTCAGCGGCGAAGATATTCTGCATCTTTTACAGCAGAACATCACCGGCAACTTCGTAGAAGTCAGACCTTGAGTGTTCTATCCCATGTGCTCCTATAGAACACTGTAGATACAAAGTTCTGCTCAAGCATAAACAAGCCATCAAACCGTTCTAACGGTGTGGCGCTGGGAATCATTCTTCCACTCCAAATTTTCCATGCAAAGGGACCCCTCTATATTCTCCTTTCCTGTTGGGCCGAGCAGATTGAAGTAAATCCTCATTGTGCTCAGTCATCATCTTGACCCAGACGGCCATAATCGCCCCCACCTTTACCCTCACCTTTCGTCCTTTGTACCATTCTTGATATCCACCCTCCAAGCCCTTCACTACTCGCCGGCGCGTCAGGCGGAAGCCGAGGCTTGCCGTTTTCCACCGGAACGGATGGCGGATTAATGTCAAGACCCGGAATTGCATTGTCTGCTGTAAAATTACCAGGCCCCCCACGCCTAATGTCAAGCGATGGCACGGGGGATCGGTTGCCACTCATCAGAGATTCAACCTCTGCGTGTTGAGCAGGAGTCGGCATCGCCGTGGTAGCGTCGCCGAAGAGCTGGTCCATGTCTTCGAGTCGCACGTTGGCGGTTTCAGGGTAGAGAAAATATACTACGGATGGTCAACACAGACATTACTGGGGTTTGATGATATTGAGAACGGAGACACCATACCGAGAACAAAACTGACAGCGCAGAAAAACGCATGTACGAGATATAACCGCCATTTAATCCATTCTTGTAAGACTGGCGTCAACTCACCCACAATCCAATTGCACGCCCAATTGGCTGCTGTACTCAGGCTTGCTCCTTTGGCTCTGATGCTCAGCGGCAGGATTTCTGGTGGGTAAAGCCATGGTATGGGGCCCCAGGAAGCACCGAAAGCGGCATTGTAGATCATGACGAAGATGACGGTTAGTACTGGGGTGTAATGTATGTCGATGAAGATGAAGTATGATATGGCGGAAAGCGAAATGATCATAGCAATGGCTCCAGAAAGAAGGATCAAGCGTCGACCCCATCTGTCCACAAGGTACCATGGAGGAACGGTCGAGAGTAGGTAGGTAATGCCGTTGATTCCGGTCATAAGGATAGCATCACGGCCGACCCATCCCGCCGACTCGAATACGAGAGGTGCGTAGTAGGAAATGACGTTGATGCCGTTCAGCTGTGCCAAACCCTG